GACTAAGCTAGAAGCCCTCAAGGAAGGTGACGATGAGCTCGACGTACGCGAACGAGCGAAATCGGCTTTATGGCAGATGAAGCCAGCATATTAGACTAAGCTCTAAGGTCTAGGCGGACGGAATAGAATACGCCTTGTTGAAGTAATGTAATGGATACACTTATGACTTAGGCAATGATAGGCGGGATGACGATAGGACCTGGCGTTACGCATAGGCTTCGGGGTGCATTGTAAATCAGACGGGCCAGAGAAAGGCACCATCAGGGAATCAGCACTTCGAGAAGAAAGACGCCAATGTACATAGATAAAACTGCATCCTTCAATGATAGGATGGAATAAATATGATTTCTCTCTACTATCGCATTCACTGAGCAAGTCTAGAACCCCATGCTCCCAATTCGGGTATCCTACGGTAGTTTAGCAACGACAATCTCCGCCGTCTCTAGCCGCTGCTGGAGGGGGCTGCAGACGTGCAAATCTATAGTAGCCCGGTTTGTTCGGTTTGTTCATTGCGTTCGGTCTGAAAATTAAAAAGTCCAAGCTATAGATCGCGCACAACATGTGAAAGCGAGGCACTCTAACATCTACAGGAGGCCGGACCAGGTGCACCGGTCGAAACCCCAGTCTGACAGACGCTTACTTAAGGGACTCAGACTCGGAGCCAATGAGGCGACCGGCGTGAGTGACACGGCTGACACGAGTGATATGGTTCGCTGGGGCGGGTCTGCAGGACTGTTGCATTTCGACGATGATTCAGCAACCGCATTCCCCCCCTCCGCGCTCACGCTGGTCGCCCGGTGTGAGTGAGGAGTGCCTAACTCGAAGCTACGTGTGGACACGAAGTGTGGCTCTTCGCTAACAAGGACAAGCACTGGTAAATGAGGAGAAGGCTGCATCCGTGGAACGAAGAGAGAGGGGAAGTATTACCTATACTGCAAGGGATCCACGGTTTTATCTGCGATGTGCGCTGGGCGCGAATGTCCTTTCATATCGACCGGCTCCTGCGGTATCGTGTCTTATTTCCATGGCTTACACACTTACACATTTGTGATATATCAAATATTATATAAGCGAAAAGGCTGTATATCGTCATCGAATTAGAAGCCATCTGCTGGAGTGCCTTAGCGCCTCACTACCTAGTGGAACTGGTCTGCTAGTAGCGGGCCACGGCCTATTATTAGTCGGTGACTACCGAAGATCCGGAGTTTCTATATCCACCTTCTCTAATCTCCTCTTCTAATCTAGACCTCAGGAAAGAAAGAAGATAAAGCTTACAATTCTACGACCTTCTGCCGATGATGACCCCATCTCGATTAGATTCGACCGATGTGAAGGACGAAGCACCTCACTCGATGGTGGTATGATACCTAAGACACTGCAAGGCCGATCGCCATCTCAGACAGGCTTAGCCGTTGCAACCTCGATGGCATGGTGGGTTCCGTCAAAGCCGGGGGAGAGCTGTGGCCAATTTGAGGCTCTCAGTGGCTAGCACCTCGCTTTCCCCTCCTCTTTCGATCTCCGGACCTGAACCACCAAGGGGGTAACGATGAGCTAAACGAGTTGGGACAAGCCATTGACCAAACAGAATCCTTGGCCGGAGCTGCCTTGTCGAAGTGGAAAAATTCTTCTATACGTGGAGTTTTCGTCGTTTGTTATCCCCGGAAGCCCGGAGGAGGGTGGTAGGGCCAAGGCGAGGTAGGACAATATATCAAGCATTTTCTATGTATATTTTTTTTTTTCATCTAAGCATCTCGACCAAATCACGTCACGTCACGTCGAGTCGACGCCACTCCGCATACGCCCACGTTCAAGTAACCCACCTACCGGCGTTAGTCGGAGGTCGAAGTTCCTGCAAGCGCCGGCATTGCTTCGAGATGCTAACACCATCTGGTGTTATCTATTGCCCTTTTCAGACCGAACGTGATCGAGCATCGTGCCAGGGGGGGTCCGCCGGCTGTCACCAATTTTGAATACATACATGCACCTTTGTGTGTTAGCTCATCCGATGCTGCCGTGAAGCTCACCCACCAATGTCGGCATAGACCACTACCATAACTTGCTGATTGCTACACTTGGCCAACTACTGTATGTATCTTAGTCTGTTGGCATCCTGACGTCGAATACCGAGCATTCCGTGCCTTTCTTAGCCCACGCAGGCGGACGTCGGCCTTCGCCCTGGCCGTCTTCTCTCATGCCTTTTTCTTATGTCATTTCTGTAATACGACTCCGGTCGGTTTTCGTCTCCTTTAGTAAGGAAACGAGGCTGGTGGTTACATTCCACGATTGTGCATTATTCAGCCAGCAATAATTATCAATATACACATCTTACCTTAGCGCTGTCGGGCCCGTTTACATGCTGCCACGTTCTGGGGATAAGGTCTAGTTAGGTATCGAAATCTCGTAGCCTTTTTCTCCACATTAGGGCTGAAAAGAAGATCGTCGACGGCATTGGCTCGAAGCAGAACCGTGTGCCGCAAAGGCTAGAGGTGTGCTGCATGTTGACTTTGCTCTTTAGAGGTCTCCTGACACCGCATTGTCCCATCGGCTTCCCGTCACTGGTTCCGAGTAGAGCTCCGAGTGGCCAACTTTGTAGACTAATCAATCTCCATACGACGAACACATCACTATGATCCGTCGCCATCCGTCTCGTCCGCACCCTCCCGGGCTCTGTGGAAGATTCCATGCAAAAGCTGAAGCATTAGTTGGGTCGTCTGATCATTCCCCCATTGGAATGCTTCGTGGAAATCTCGGCTTTGGTAATTGGTTCTGCTTTGTACTATGAACCGTTGGAGCGTCGAGGAGTCATCACCAATACGCCAATGGTCGACCTCCGAACTATACGACAGGGTACGACTCCGCAGCTCTTGATCGTCACGGCCGTGCCAGGGGGGGGCTTTCCTCTATAATACAAGCCTCGTCCCCTCGTTTTCTCTTACTCGCCTCATCTCAGCTCATCAGCGAATCACAGCAACTACAGTGATCCAAAGGCTACAATAAAGACTTCCCTCGACAACGAAAGCTTGCTACTCTCGAAACGCAATTAAGTCTGCCTAGTCAATACTAATCCAGTCGCCACGATGTATATCCTACCCCGTAACGAAGCCTTGGACGTCAACCCTCCCGCGGGTAACGAGGAGCTCACCACGCACGGTTCCGACTGGCTATGGGCGGTGTTTGGTCTCTACATGCTGTTCTTCTTCATCTTCTTCGGCACTAGCTTCATTGCCAAGTCTGGCGAGAAGATTTTCCACTACCTGTTCACCATCGCCCTGCTCGTCGGTTCCCTCACCTACTTCGCCGTCGCCTCTGACTTGGGCTGGGAAGTGATCACGGTTGCCGACTCCAAGCCCGTCAGCGGTCTGTGGACGCGTCAAGTCTTCTGGGTTGAATACGTCAACTGGGTTGTCAGCTTCCCCGTCATCGCCATCTCTCTCGGTCTGCTGAGCGGCGTCTCTTGGGCGTCCATCGTCTTCAACGTCTTCCTATCGTGGACCTGGTAAGTAGTCATCGAGAGGCCACAACATACCCCTGGTAGGAGGGATCAAGGCTAACTGGGAGAAAAAGGACTGTCTCTCTGCTCGTATCCGCCTTCACTGGCACCAGGTACAAGTGGGGTTTCTTCGGCATCGGAATTCTTGCTTGGTTCATTCTCGCTTTCAACACCCTCTTCTACGGTACCATCGCTGCTAAGCGCGTCGGTGTTTCTCGAGACTGTACGTTTACTCGTGCTGCTGTCTTCGCAAAGATATGGTGATTGCTAACATTTGGATATCGCAGACATCATCCTGGCCGGCTACGTCAACTTCTTCTGGATGATCTACCCGATCGCCTGGGGTATTGCCGACGGTGGCAACAAGATCGGTGTCACGCCTGGCTACATCTTCTACGGTATCTTGGATATCCTGGTGGTCCCCGTCACGGCTTTCGCCTTCTACTTCATGTCCAGCAAGTGGGACTACAACAAGCTCAACATCGCCTTCACCCGCTACGGCCGCGTGCCGCAGTCCGGCGAGTTCCCCGAGAAGACCACCCCCGCCCCGGCCGCTGCTGCGCCCCCGGTCGTTGGCGAGCCGACGACTGCCGTATAAGCGGATCAACACGGGCAGGATAATACGGGTCGTCGCGGTCTTTGCCTCCCGTCTTGAACGTCGCTGGCTGGTCTATTCGCAAAACCGCGCGATCCCGTCGAAAATCCTCGACGCCCGATTTTCTTTTCTAGTATACCCCCCAAACGTCGCTCGATGCCGAACGCCATATGCATAGTAAGGCTGGGCCTGTCGCTCTTTTAACGATTTTACGACCGAAAAAGACACACGGAACACAGATCACGCGGCGGAGAATCCCACGATCTTAATTTTAAACGTTACCTTTTTAGACTGGGAAATTCAAACGGAAACGGTTTGCGTGATTGGTTTATTTTGTCGTCGATTTCGAAACCAAGTTATTATACCCCCTCGCTCGTTTATGCAACAGAAGATGAAAGCGAAAATATACCCTTCGTCGTCAGTAATAGGATAGATGGATGGGAGTGAGTAATAAAGTGTGGAGAGTAATAATACCTAATAATGAGTACCCGGTATCCGTACCTTAGAGAGTGTTGAGACGAATAAAATACCCTACTTCGCTGTTTGTCTAAAGCTGTTGTGTCTTTCGGCTGCTTGTGAATCGAGACGATGGTGATTTACTAGAGCAGCAGATTTAGGCGGTTTGCATTTTGCACGCCACTATTAACCCGGCGTTGTGTTCACTCTGCTACCATAAAACTTAGCACATCGTAAGTAAGTCGGACGAGAGATGCATCTCACGTCGTGCTTCACGTTCTATTTAGTGAGTTGAGGGAGGGAGATGATAGCTCAGAGTGGCAGAGTGGGCCAAGTTTCGCTTAGCGTAAAAGCCCCATTTATCGCATCACGGCTAGTGGACCATAACCATTTTGCGCTCTTTGTAAAATAGGGTACATAGATCTTATTTGCAATCGTAACTTTCATCTAAGCAGAACGGGCAAGATGGCCGAGCGGTCTAAGGCGCTAGACTCAAGAGACTCCAACATCTCTTACACCCTTCCAAGGGTACTCATTCTAGTCTCGAAAGAGGCGGGGGTTCGAATCCCCCTCTTGTCATCAAATTTTTTCTTTTTTTCCCATTTAATCATTACGTAGTATTGATGTGGTTTACTATTCGAACACGCGATTGATACTGCATTGATGTTTTAGAAACGCGAACCTCGTTAGTAGTAATATTGACTTTAGATATTTTTTCTCTTTATTTGTTAAAGCTGGGTATTTTGCATAAGCTCTTATAGCATCAGGAGCGATGTGCTAGATCTCAAGCAAGAGCCTTAAAGATGCCAACATTGACAGCGGACAACCACTGGTATTGGAATGGTCATTGAGTTGGGCTTGTATCAGTCATGGATTTTAACCGCATGCCATACCCCAGGCTGCATATGGCTGGGTACCCGATTAGGTTTATAACAACTTGTTTTCTACCTCGTATCCGGTGTGGCTAGTATGCATCGCAGAGCCGACACGAGGGACGATCAAGTATGAGAGTTGGATGATTTCACTGTGTGCTTTAGCTCCTATACGTGTGTGTGTATGTGTGTGTGTGTATGGGGCATTACGCCGTGAGTAGTTGTCTACTCATTTCTTCCTTCCCTTCTCCTGAGCATCAAGATAGGAACAACTACAATACGCATCAGCTATCTTTTCAGAGGGGAAGCAAATTTAACATCATCACTCTACGACGCTGTGTCTTCAATTGAGTCCACTTCAGTGAGATCTGAACCCTTTCTACACAAGTGATAATGGCGTCACTACTCACCATTACTCCTATCCTCTTTCTTCTCTTCACGGCGCCATGCCATGCGCAACATCCCGAGAACGCAGTCGCCGTGCCAGCCAACTTCCCCAAGGCCTTCGTCACAGCCATGGTCGTAGCCATAGTTTGCGTGGTCATCCTCGTTGTGCTGGTCTGCGTCCTGTCCCACTGCTGGCAATACATCATCGGACTACGATGGCGGCCCAGCAAGACCGGCTCCTCCACTTCGCTTGTCCCCGAGCGCTGGCTCGAGCCTGTCTTCGAGTGGCCTCAGAAGCTGACGCCGCGCCGCCACAGGAATAATATGAAGAGGAAGAATAGGCAGAGGAAGAGGCTGGGGCTGAGGTTGCGGGATGGCAGACGGAGGACTGCGGTAGGGGTAAGGGGCGTGTGGGATCAGGAGAGGCGAAATTATAGTCAAGAAGGCATGCTTAGGGGATGGGAGTAAGTAGTAACGGACGAGAGGACTGTGTGCTGGGCTGGATAATGACTAATGGAAGAAAAGCTCCGCGTGAGAGTTATTCGTATTAGCATCTCGATGGTCGGTGCCGATGACTCACTCCGCAGGCTCTCCTGGACGTATCGATAGGTCGTGTACAACACTCGAAGAAGACTAAAGAAGGGTCTGTCTTAATTGAGCACTGCCTCGTTATGCTATTTAAGAATACGGTCCTTGGTATCATGGCCTACCTCACTCCGTCTTGTTCATCGATTCGATGCATCTCCGGAGGACTGTTTTATCTGCTCAGTGGGCTGATTCGAGTCGACATATAAAATGAGCTGTTGTTTGACCGCTCAACCTGGGTGTGACAAGGTGGTTTCGGCTACCGAGAGAGCCGTGCAACTCGAGATATGCAGGTAGCCAGGAGGGCACTTGGACTCTGGAACGAGTAACAAGATGAGTCACTAACCCACCGATTCCCACGACGCTACCTAGTCTCGAAAGAAGTTTCCGTCTGAGGAGGCACCCGCTGCCGTGCGAATTCCTCGCCTCCTCGAGGGAGGTCTGGTCATGTTTGCATCCAGGAGCTCCCATTTACGCGGGAAGCAATCTAGTGTAACCAGTCCTGCCGCACCTCGGATACCAAAGCAGAGCGATTCAAACACACAAATAGCTAATATGGACAATGCCGCAACCGGAGCCGGCCTTGATAAAAATTACGTGTTACTAGGCAGTAAGAAGAGCCGATTGGTTATGCGAATCTCTGAGCTAATCCTCCAGGGCATATTGGCAAGGGATGGAAAACAACCCTTCGAGACGACTTAACGAGATGAATACCATTATTTCTCTGTTATTAACAGTCGGGCGGCTCCTTGCTAATGTAAGACGACTAACGATAGGTTGTCTGCCCCTTAACCTGTCGTGGACGAATCGAAAGAGTAGGCTGGGTCGGTTACATAACCTACCGATGGCTCCCATCGCTACAAAAAAGAAGCGAGCAAGGCTACACCGCAGGTGAGAAAGGAAGATAACCAGTCATTTCGAATATCTCGTTAGTTATCACCCAAGTGAACAATGTGGGTAGCCGCCGCGAGGTCTAGATGGACTCAAGACCCGGGATTCTATAGAACCAACATAGCATCTCGGTGGCGTGATATATAGTCTGATATTTAGTTGCACTGCTTGCGATTGCTTCTTGCAATATTCCAACCTGAGGAGGTTGTCTGAGGTCGGGCTATAGCCAATAGGTTCCGAGAGCAGCCGTAGTGTTGGTTGTGATAAGTAGCTCGAGTTCATAGAAATTGGTATGATCATAACGTCTCCTATTCGGAAATTGCCATGAAGCGCCACGGCTCTGATGAACAACGGCACGTCTACCTACCTAACAACATCCAGCCTATCGGCCTCCCAACATGGGTGATGTTAGACGTTAGACCCTCCTTGCCGATGGGATGATTGGTGTTAGAAAGATGATTATTTTCAGACATGTTGCAAGACCTCGGGACCATGTACATAAGGTTCCATAGGTACGTATGTCGTGATGTAACTCGTAAAACAGAAGTCGTGGTCCCGGATCAGCTTAGGTTAGCCATCTATCAATCTTAACCTTGCTGGCGACCTTCTGTCATGGATGACGGGAGTTGGCGTCAGCCGCCCACCCTAATGCCAGCAAGGCGAACATACACATCGTATACTATGTATGTGATAGAACATCTCATAGCTGGAGGCCGAAATATGTTGCCTCGCACGCGAGGTGAAGCGGAGACGACACGCGTGGATACAGGCGCCGCGAGTGAATGCAGCCTGCATGAGCTGGTTCTAGTTCGGTGGCGGGTTGAGACGTGATGAAAACTCAACTTTAGACAAAGTCTTGCCAAACAATCATCATAGTCGGCCGGCCTTATTGTATTGAGTCACCCATCACCGTCATTATTACTGCCCGGCTAATCTGTAGTGTCCCCTGGCTGCCTAGGCGAGCACAGCATGCTTGGGGGGCAACTGGTGCCGCTAGCTCGGGTTCGGTGGCGCACCGCGTTGGATCTTAAAGGCCAGAGAATGGTGAGCGATGAGTAGTAGTTTCACATTCCCCCCATGATCCACCTGGGATGTTGTCGAGTCAGTATACCCAAAGGAAAGGGCCGACAGGGTTTCGGCCGTACTTTGTACAACGCAATGGATCTGGATATAGCCTATCAGCATGGATCATAGATACCATGGGGCGCAGATACCATGGATCATAGATTGTATGTGGTCAGAAAGTCAGTTTGTAAGACGAACCCAACACCGACGAAACTAACAAACATTTATTGGGTTTGCCGAACTCGAACTCGGGAACCTCGCCCACTCGCCCACTCGCCCCAGACTGCCCGGACTGGTGGGGCGGCTAAACCCCAGTGTCGAAAAGTCAATTCAGACGCTAATGCTGCAACTAGTCTTGCTCAGTTTGCGAGTCGTCTGATGTTGACGTTGACGTTGGCGTTGACATTGACATTAACATCGACATCAGACAAGCTTTGGCGAGCACATTCTTTTCTGCCTGTCTATCAATGATGCCAAGGACGAAGCAAGCGGTGCGCCGTCTCCGTGTCCGTTTCCGCCTCCGTTGCTCCGTGGCATTTCGCCCTTCAATCGCGCCCAAGTCTTTAAACCAACCGAACTAATGCAATGCTTTTAGTCTGTTAGTCTGTTAGTCTGTTAGTCTGTTAGTCTGTTAGTCTGTTAGTCTGTTAGTCTGTTAGCCCAAGACCCGGCAAAAGCTTGATTTTCGTCTCCTCAGTACCGCTAGTTAGGCTGTTAGGCTGATTGACGCGCTAGAATACATAGAAAGCAATCTTCAATCTTCGATGTTAGTTCCTGGTTCGCCTGGTCGTCGGGTCGGTTCCAATAGCTGCGAGGCCACATGCACATGGACCCGACTAGCGAACTAGCCTACTTTTAGATACGTACTTCACAATATAATTTTTAGAAGATCGGCATTTCCAAGCGTCTGGATTCGTATGTAGGTAGAATTTCACAGGTTTGAGCGTCTGCGCCTTGATTGCATCGAACGAGGCTCAAATTATCCAGGGCCAGTACATTTGAAAGGGATGATATCCCGTCCTGCATCATGGCCTGTTAATGGGAAAAGGGCGTCATCTCTCGGCACCAAGATCCGAGGGTACGACGATACGGTATCGGAAGCACAGATGGCGCGCGAGATTCGTAGACCCTGATACTCGAAAGCTTGGAACGACTTACATTACCTTACCTAAGCCACTTGATATATCAATACTGTATGTATTGACTGTGTCAGCAGCCGAGCGAAGCGATCAGGTAGGTTCGGTGTATTATTCCGAGTTTCGAGCGTTGTACTAAATGTAAACTTCCTATGTATTTTGCCCCTATATCGACCGAGTTATTTTAGGACTCTGCGTGGCTTACGTGCATGCCGTACTATGTGAGGCAGGTAAGTAAGGTAGGTATATTTACCAGGTCGGCTTGTGAATGCGCCACGCCACTCCATGCGCTTGGGAAAAAGAACTCGCATGTAAAACACGAAGATCCAACAGCGAAACAATACCGATATTCCGTGTGCCTCATGGGCTGACTTTCTAGAAAATGGTCAGTGGAAAAGCATAATTAAAACTCAGCATAGACAGTTTAATTAAGTGCTTAGCGCAATTATGGTTCCGTGCCTGTTCTCGACGCATTGACTTGTCATAAATGATTTCTGAGACGGAGATGTTGGCAAGGCTGGGGAGCCGAAGAAGAGAAAGTAAACCGTGGCTACACTAGCTGCACTAGTAAAAAGCTGCCTAGTTGGTCTTTGGTATCGAGATGTATCATATGCATTAGGCGGCAGGGCGGCTAGTATTGTCG